CCGTCCAGATGGAACTCTTCAGCACCTAAACAGGGCCGCCTGGTAGCCCAGTGATCCAGGGACAGAAGGAAGGACGGGGCAGGCAGTGCAGGATCCAGGAGAACACAGGAGCCCCTGGAGCCCAGGCTGAGGGTGCCGGGCTCTCTTACTGGGGACCTTGAGGCTCACTGCTCTGGGTGGGTAGCCTTAGAGTAGGAGCTTAAAGTAGGAGCTTAAAACTGTTGATATGATCTATTTGAATGAAAGGAAATTTGTTATATTCAGTCTGAATATGACTTGATGGTTTTAAAAATAAATCCATATTGATCAGAATGGTAGAATCAAAACCTCCACCAAGTAGTGCAAATACTATCTATTCCAGTCCATGACTGATTCAAATAACTAACCGGAATAAAATTGATATCTGTGCTTACATGCAAGTGTTTACTACCTGGTTCATATATTTGGCTCAATTTCTTGTGTTAAGCTTCACTTAATACCTAAAAAAAATACTTAAAACAGAAAAATGAACATCAAACCAGATGGACATGATCATTCATTCATTAAAAACACTTGTCAATCTTCCAGAGGACTGCAATTTGATTGCCAGCAGTTCACAGCTAATGTTACTGAAGTTACAGGTAATCCAATCCTTGGTCTCTACAAACAACTACACTTAAGTGCACACACTGACATGCAGGGAAACATACATTCATATAATTATAATTAAAAATTATAAAAGCTAAAAAATAGCCTGTTAAACTTATATTATCATTAGGGTTACAAGTTATTAAATAAGCAATAACTAAATAAAAGTTACAGATGTTAATGTTATCTAATGCTCTCTGTCCATATCCCAGCAAGAGATAACTTTCTTTAATGTGTATTGACAACTATTGCCATGTTGTAATAGAACCAAGAAAAAATATGAAATTTCAGTCAAAATCAAGCTATGTTTATATGTGTTAGAACTCTAATTCCTTACCAGAAAATATTTCTCAGTTTTTGTATTATTTACTTTTCTTGGGACCAAATACCTGTGAAGAAACAATGTAAGGATGAGAGATTTTGTTTTGGCTTTTGCTTAGAGAGACATAATCCATCATGGTGTATCAGAAGGCTGGTCACCTTTCATCTGTCAGGAAAGGATCAGGAAGGAAGTGGGGAGTGGGTAGTCTATTGGTCAGCAAGATCTTCTCCCAGTGACTAACTGCATCCAGTGGCTCCCGATCACTTGTGAATACATCTGAATCTATGGAAAACAGTTCACATTCACACCACAGCAAGCCACTAATATATATTTCTCCTTTAGCACTCATTATAAAGTCAATAAATATCAAAGGTCAACATTGTCCCATCTCTGTAAAATTACAAATCTTGTTTACAGCTTAGCTACATTATTTTTTAGATTCCTGAAAGATTAATTGTATCTATTAAGAAAAGATGAAAATATATGTAATATGAAATCCAGACATGAATATATAAAAGTTATTATCTAATATAAATATACCACAGGCAAAAGTAGGTTCTGCTCTTTCTTCATTTTATTAAAGGAAATACCTGAACTTCCTTCATTTACCCTTTACAAGTGCCATTTGTTATTGTAGGATGTCTTTCATAAGAACACATTACAAATGCTTGTAATGTATTCACTTCAAAAGAAAACTAGGGGAACAGGACAGTTTTTACCTACAAAGAGAAAAGTATACAGGAAGTATACAGTCTATTTCTACTTTCATTCACTTGCCCAAAACTAGCTTGGTTGTAACGATTAACCAGAAAAATTTCTAAGAAGGACGATATGAGTAGAACAAAAACTAGGTCAATATTAGCAGGTATTTTATAACAATTTTAAAATATTTTTACCTCATTATCTGTCCGTGCTGCAGGCATTTTATTTTGATAATAAAGAACATCTTAGTCATCTTTTTTTATTTTTACTTATTGACTTACTTACTTTAGTCCTTACTTATCTTATTTTGAATATACACAGCCAGGGAGGATTTGAGGCTGAAAATAAGTAACTAGCACTAATCAATTACAGTTCTTAAGAGAAATTTTCATGGGTTAAAATTCTAATAGGGGGTTCAGTTTTTGTATTTCTAATGAAATAATTTATGATCTCTTTTTTCCTGTGAAACACTCTAAATATTTACTCTATGTATTTCATATATAAGAATATCTGTTTCATATGTAAGTTCAACACTGATTCTTCTCTCAGCTTTGACATGTTCTTGTTTGTTTGCTTTCTGTACTTTATTGGTTGATTTTTGTTTTTCTGAGATTGGGTGTCCTGTAGAGTACTGTGGCTTAAATGTACTATTTGACTGCTTCTGTTCCTCCTCACTCTGCTCCTGAGTGCCTAGGTTGTAGATGTGCTTACAGCTGTGCACCAGCACACATAGAACATTGTGATGCCAGTTACTAGTTTTATTACCACAGACCGTTTCCAAGTTTTCCACACACATTCCTGCACAATTTTATGAAGTCACATTCCATTTTCTTAATTGGTTTACTTACTATGTCTTGTGACTCTCTTTGGTTTCCATGCTTTCCTCCTCTAGGGATACCCTCGACTTTTGGAGAATTATTCATTATATTCTCCTGCCTTCTGTTTTGATAAAGAGAGTTAACTATAGAAGTCACTCTATAGTCATTTTTAATTAGTTCAGGAAGGTGGTAAATTCAAGCCATGAATAGTAATTATTTTCTCAAGACCATTGATGTAGTTCAATAAAGACGCCCAGATCTCTTGTGGTAACTGAATTATGCCACATGAACACGTAAGCTGCTGAGAGCCAAGTACAACAAACAAAGAAAACTGTAAACTTCTAGCAACAGTACAGAAGGAGCTACAACACTGAGTCAAGCAAAATGAATCAAACCCCATACATCTAATTACATTTCTTGCTGAAAGCCTTACTTCAGATATATAGCTATAGAAGTTTATAAATAAAGAAGCACTTTTCAGTTGCCTTATTATATTTGTTGGCTTATTTTATTAGTTTACCCCCCTTTTCCATTTGTTTTCAATTGCAAAATTATTTCAACATATAAAATGACCTCATCTAGCATTCTGCTGTGATGAAATAGTCTAGTAATATTTGATTGTCTAGAACAGTGAATGTGTGGCATTCAAAATGTCTATTTGATAAAAAGTCATCTCATTATCATCAGTGAGAGTCTAAGAACATTAATATTCAAAACAAAGAGAGTAATACTTCTTACTTTAAACTCTGAAACTTTTACAGAATTTTTTTCTGCTACTTATTTCTAGTTTTATCATACGGTAGCCTGAAAGCATATTTTCCATCATTTCTCTTATTTTATGTTCATTTAAATCTGGGTAATGTCTGAGAAAATAAGGCAAGTGGATGCTGCATGTAACTATCAAAAGCATGAATAGTCTGTCATTGTTCTATAAGTTTGGTTCAATGTGAATTACATCAAATTAATTAATGATATTCTTGAGTTCAGTTATCACCTTGTGTATATGTAAACCTAAACTTGTCAGGCCTAAAGAGATGGATTTTCAAGATTCAAATGAAATAGTATGCTCATATGTTTTTATTGTGCCCCATTTTCTTTCCACAGATATTTTATGCTGAATTGTTAAGCAAATGCACATTAAGAATTGTGTTTTCTTGGAAAAATAACACCTGTGTTTCTATTAATGTTTTTGTAGAAGCAATTAAGTACATTGTTTATTTAATTTTTTATTCATTATTTGGTATAAATTCTATTTTGAGGGATTTATGAAAACACAAGACAAAGTGTTACATATTATTATATTAATTGTTTTAGAATTTCATGCATATATACTGTATGTTTTGCTAAATCTACCTTTAATATTTCCTGTCCAAAGGATTCTTTATTTTTGTCAACACTTTTACTTACCAACTTCTTTGAAACCTATGTTATCTACTGAATACATGATAGAGTACATATCACATACCTACACCACATATACAAATACTAAATTAAAAACTAAAACTTGAAATAACAAATTGAATTAAATATGTATAAAATACTAGTGCTTCATAAGCAAATGTATGAATATTTATTATGCAAGGTTTTTTCGGTGTTTTGAAATCACTAATTACAATTTAAATAATTTTATTTAATTTAAAAAAATAAATGAAAATAATAGACTGAAGGAAGCAAGTGGTGTCACCATATGGGTAAATAGGACAAAGCATTTGATAAAACCCAATACCCAGTCATTGGGTTTCACCATCATGACCTTGACCACCCATACAATTCATCCTCCCTCTCTTCGACAGGACTTTGTGAAATTGACACAGTGCTAGGCTGTGAATTTCTGCATCTGCTTCCATCAGTTACTGAGTGAAAGTTCTGAGAGGTGTTTTCCAGGTTCTGGCTATTGTGAATAGCACTGCTATGAACATTGAACATAGTTGAGCAAGTGTCCATGTGGTAAGATTGAGCATCCTTTGGTTATATGCCCAAGACTGACTATCTTTTCACTTAACTGAGTTATTTCTAACTGCATGCTTTTGAATGGCTTTTCTGTGTAGAATTTGTACAATTTGTACTACTTTTTAATTAAATATGTTCTATGACATCAATATATAGCGCCATAAGGTACATAATTTAGTATAAGGTTCATCTTCTTTGAACCTGTTGATAGTTCTTTATTGTCTAGAAATATGATTGCAAATTTATTTTGTAATTATTGTTTGAAAATGGTTTTTGATCATGTGGTCTGTAATAAAGTCTGTGTAGAAAAATACAGATTCTCTAGTCATAGCAATAATAAGTAAATGATGGTAGGATCAATTTACCTTCTAAATCTTCTTGTACCCAATGACCTGTGGCTCCTCTGAGGAGCCCTTAAAACCAAGGATGAAGGAACTTAATATACTCCATCCACAACTTCCAATGTGTTCTGAGAATATTCCAATTTCAGTATTTCTGCTGGTTACTTACAGCATTTCCCAAACTGGTTCTAAACTGCCAACTCTTTTGGGCGAGTCCTTCTTAGCTATTATATTGCCTATTACTTGTATTAAATGTCCATGTTAAATGCTACTAGTTTTAATGCTAGAAGCCAGAGATAAAGAATGAAGATATACCATGTGTCTCAATTTCTTTAAAGACCATGGGAAGAGAAGATAACGTTTATTGTCATGGGTCAGAAATATGGTTACCCTTCAGAAAAAAGATAATAACTCAACAGCTTTAGTTATAGGAAAGGAACATTCAGAGTGTCTGGCAATGGTTTTTCTTGATCTGTGTGGTGTCACATAGCGATGCACTTGTAGGAATCTACTGGCCTGCATACACATGGCATGTTCAGTGAGGTACTTAACCTTTGAAATAGCCATCTATTTAGGAACTATTCATTTGTTCAGTGATATTCGTGTACAATGGAAGATTTCCATTCAATTGGGAAGAAAACAGTAGAGCAAGAGAGTTTGCTCAGAGATTAAAAACAGACTGCTCTTCCAGAGAAACTGTGTTTGAATACTAGCAACCGTACAGTAAAATACAGCCATGTGTCACTCGTATTCCAAGGGATCAAACCCTGTCTTCTGAACTGGGTTGGTACTCACTCACTCCTGTGGTACACAGATACACATACGTGCATGTGGTACACCCATACACATAAAATAAAAATTAAAAGGGAAAGTTTAAGCATAAAAGATTACTCACGTTAATCATAATTTTAGATAAATGAACAACCTTCAACTTCAGTATGTTAAGTACTGTACAAAAAGCCATGGCATATTTTACTATGCAATTTAGTTGTTTTTAGGATACTTCTGTATATATGGTCAATCATTCATGCCTTGGGCTGGGGATACAACTCAGTGGTGAAGTAGCATAGGCTTTGTGAGCAATGCCTTGCATTCAGTCTTTAATACCCCCAAATTCATGCCTTTTGATATTGATTACAAAGCACCAAGAAAATAATCTGTAATGATCAATTATGATTTCTCTATCACAATATTTGGCCTAGAAGTATGCTGGTAAGTCACATGCATGCCCCCAATTGTAAAAATACGCCTCTTAAACTCATGATTGACTTAGCCTGTTCCTGTTTGCCTTGTCTCAAAGACCCTCCTGATCCAAACATTTCTGCCTCTCTGACTGGAGGAGTTCCATTCTTTGTTCAATAATCATTCTCTTAGCTTACTAAACACCTGTAAAAGCTAAGAATCCAGCATGTTCTTTCTCGGCAGGCAAAAAGCCTTCACTAATCTTTTTATTATTTTATTTTCTTAGTACATAAATGAGGACTTCATCAAACTATATCCCACTGGGTGCAAAGAATGCTACTGAGACCTGGAGATGTGAATCTTTTGTAATGACTGCTGCTCCATCTTTTTTTTTTTTTTTCTAGGTCATTTCCAAGCTATTCTTTACAATGCCTGGAGATAATCAGACAGCTTCTCTGAAGACCATCAGCTGAGCCCTGATGTGCTTCGCTCTGCAGTTGTCTGCTAGCTCTTCACCATTCCTTTTGAACAGGTATCCTTTCTTCTCCTTAATAGACTCTTTAACATTTTATAACTTTTTATATTAAAACATGACAGATTAAATTTCCAGATTTGTGATTTTGACTTTTGTCTGACATAACCAATTTTTGTTGTTTGTTTGGTTTGGTTTGCTTTTATAAAAAATGGAATGTGTATTTGTTGGGTATACTGCTTCCTGGATAAGTAAGAGAACCTGGGTGTGTATCCCAAACACCAACATACAAGCGAGGTTTGAGGAAATTTACCTATAAATCCAAAGCTGGGTACTGGAGACAGGCAAGTCCCAGAAGCTAGCTGCCCAGTTTGCAGGAATATTAAAACAACTGAGAGATCCTCCTAAAAGAGATGAAAAGAGGTAGAGAAAGGTACCTTACATCCATCTCTGACCTTCGCATGTATACACACAGGTTTCTGCATGTGTACTCACATATTAGAAACACAATTACATTCAACACAGACACAAAACATAATTTCACAAATAACTAAAATACAGACATTGTTAAAATGCAAATAACAAAGCAACTGTCATAGTTTCTAACATTTATTTACAATTTGTAAGAAGTAGTACATCAACTCATCTATTAATTATTAATATTAATAACTACACATCCATAATTGTCTCTAGGGTAGGTAAAAACATGTGATTAAAATAATAAAAAGGGAAAAACTGAAGTTTCTTCCCTCAAAACCATGTGACTAGGCATTGGCTGAACATGAAATGAATCTAAATATTCTAACTAGAAACTTTATAAACTTTCTCATCTCTACTTTTGAAAAATAGTTGTGACTTTCTTTTTTGTGTGTTTTCTTCCTTCACATAAATTTTGCATACAACTCCAAAACATGTATACATAATTGGAGTGAAACTATATTAAAAAAAGTTAAACATGATGAGAAGCCAAGGTCAATGGCAAGGGGTTTTGATCCTACTTCATGTTCTGGCTTGATGGGAGCCTGGCCAGTTTGGATGTTCACCTTCCTAGACATGGACGGAGGGGGGAGGACCTTGGACTTTCCACAGGGCAGGGAACCATGACTGCTCTTTGGATAGGAGTGGGAGGGGGAGAGGAGTGGGGGGAGGGGGAGAAGAGAGGGGGAGGGGGAGAAGAGAGGGGGGAGGGGGAGGGAAATGGGAGGCGGGGAGGAGGCGGAAACTTTTTTTTTCTTATTCTCAATAAAAAAATTTATAGTAAAAAAAAAAGTTAAACATTGCTGTTATCAATTAGCCTTGTAAAAATCTTTATTTTTTCAGAGTTTAAAATACTTTGAGTCTCTTATCCATTGATTTCTAAAATATTAGCATTCATTTTTAAGAAATTACAATATTTAATAGCTACCTTTCACACACACACACACACACACACACACACGATGTGGGATTCTTTGCTGTATGCTGTGAATACCACTGGTTAATAAAGAAACTGGCTTGACCTGATAGCGTAGGTGGGAAAAACTAAACTGAACACTGGGATAAGGAAGGCAGAGTCAGGAAGAAGTCATGGATCCACCACCAGAGATAGATGAGCTGAAACTTTGCTCGTAGGCTATGACCTCATGGTGATGAACAGATTAATAGAGATGGGTTCAATTAAGATGTTAGAGTTACCCAGTAAGAAGCGAGAGTAGAGCTAATGGGCCAAGCAATGATTTAATTAATATAGTTTCTGTGTGGTTATTTCTGGAGTCTGGGCAGCCAGGAAACAAACAAGCATCCTCCTTACAACACACACACACACACACACACACACACACACAGAGAGAGAGAGAGAGAGAGATACATATATAGTACCATCTCTTCACCAGTGGTTCTATTGGGCTTAGACTTGTATAAGCTGCATTCGGTCCCATACGTTTTCTCACTTCAGTCTCTGGTATAGATGAAAGACGCACGGAAAACTAACACACCTAGTCGCAATTTAATGTTGTTTGCAGTCGTATCAAAACTAACCAATATTCCTAACAAACTGGCAAACAAGTTCTTTAAACCAAAGCCTGTGGTTACAGGAGTAAGGCAAATGTGTAGAGAAAGTGAATCATTGTAACCAATAATAAACTACAGCTGTATTTATTCCTATGACTAAGGAAATGTAAACATTTCCCCCTCTGCACCCTCTGCTTTAATGATAGAACCCCTATTTATTCAACCCAATTTTTGCATATAATCAAGAAATGTGTCTATTACTGTACAGGCATTTGGTTTTCCTAGAGAACACTCTTTTGGCCCATAGCTATTAAGATGCTTCAAACTTGTCACTAAACAAGTTCTGCTGCTGTTTGTTTGCCTGTAAAATGTTGGTAGGAGCAGTGGCATTTTATTCTTAGACTATTTAGAGTCTATTTAAAATAAGACAGAAAGCATTTTTGATGATATAATTAAAAGAAAAAAATTAAATTTTGCTTGTTTTCTTTTGCATGTTAAAAAAGTCACTATTCTTCTTTACATCTACCCTCTCCTTATTTTCTAGCTCTTGATTTCATTTTATGTTTAATTTGTGAGATCCTGTTTGTTAAATTGTACAGTTATGTGTTGAAATTCCAATGTGATAGGACTTGGAGTTTGGGTGTGGGGGTAATTGGTTTAGATGAGGTCAACAAGGCATGACGCCTTTGTACAAGAGATGAATCTTCCAAGTACTATTCTAAATGGATTCCCGTACAGCAAAAGGCCAACTGTCTAAGAGGAAGAAACAAACTTTTTCAGAATCTGACAAAGTTGGGTCTTAAATAGAAACAAGAAATTGCAGCAGGTAGGTTGGTTCAGCAAAGGAGCTGACATAGGATTGCCCCTAATTTCCATAGAAAGGGTTTGGAGACAATGAGGCCATGAACAAGTCTTTCAGAGGAAAGGCATTAAAAGGGAATGACACATTATGTCAGACACAGGAGGAATAGGTAAGAAGGGAAAAACTTCCCTTTATTAAAACTCAGAAGGGAATGCCACTAAGACAGAGAGGTTAAAGTAAAACAAGAGAGAAAGACGTCATGAACAAGATGGTAGAGCAAGGGAGGAAGAGACAGTTACTGGATAGGATCATAAATTAGAGACTTTGAAGACACATCATAGTATGACTTTGAAATTACATCACAGTATGACTTTGAAATTAACATTTTATTTAGACTTTGTCTCCAACTTGGTAATGCATATCATAATAAACAATGACTTCTTTAACCACTAGGTTTTATACTAATTTAAGAATCTTTTCATTATAAACAAAACCAAGGAAACTCCTAAATTAAAAGTACTTTATATATTCTACAAGTCTCTAAGTACAGTGTATTTCCCTTTTATTATCTCTTTAGAAACTAGTTATCAATACCCTGTTCTTACTTAAAATAGCTTTTCAAATTGATTGATTAATATAAAACACACTCTACCACCATTTGGCTCAAAACCTTTATATCTACAGCTCAATGTTTACTAAATATACACTATTACCTCCAAGTGAACAGCTTATGAAATGTCTTATCACACTCTGCTGTTTTTCCAGGATATTGCTGACCTTAGTGTCATCTTTTGTCTCTTTATTCAATATCTCATAAAGCCCTTGGCTTTTGTTGATGATACTACCTTGATCATAGATGGAACATTCTGCATTAAGTTTTTTTTAATTAAACTGTGATGAGGAAAGCCTCATATATATGGCTTAAATAATAAGCAATTATGTTTTTGTAAGATCACATGGGTGTTGCTAGGAGACTAAGGCTGACAGAGGTAGGGAAAATGGGCTCTACATGCTGAGCCTTAGAAGTGCCACTCCCTGGACCTCCAGCCTAGACCAAAGCATTGAGAAGTGCTTTGATAGCTTCAGTCAGTTTAGACACTTTTTTTTTGTCTCTTACTTCTAAGAGACTAAAGATGCTGAGATTTATTAAGGTGCATAAATGTAGCCTAACATCAGAGATGACACTGAAGAGTTCTGAATTAAAAAAAAAAAATAAAAGACTGTCACTTTACCTGTAGTTTGGAGAACTGAACAGTCCAAGCTGGTACTTGATGTTAGAAAATGTTTTTTTGATTATGTTAAGTTTGGGAGTCTTTACCTTATATTTGGATATGGATAATTTTGAAATACATGACTTTCTATGTAATACTTTTAGAAATCTCTTGCCTTTTGGTGATAGAGTGATGGCAACTGACAGTTATTTCAAACGCATAGAACAACTCTGTGGCCAAGATCTTTACAATTTCCTAAAGGATCGAAAAGGAAATTTAATTTTAGTACTCAGAATAGTAGCTTGCTTCTGGCAAGGGCTTAGTAAAACTTACTTTATGAGTTAAAGAATATTACGAGAAGTATCATTCATGCAAGCATCAACTTGAGAATTTTCTTTTCCTATGATTTGAAATGTGACTTTCAATGACTTTTTTCCAACCCTGACATAAACATATCTCCATGAAACTTGCTTTACTTGATCTACTCACATAAAAGGAATATTTGCAAGCATCCATTACTTCACTATTTTGTACTTAACAAAGCATATATTTATATAAATATCTTCCACAAAAGCTTTTGGTTCTTTTGTAGTTATTTTGAGAAGTGGGAAATGGAAGTATGCCAGCGCACTGGATTGGTCTTTTAATATTGCCTCATTCCTCTGACTCCAGGACAAACTTTTGGAAAGAAAAGCATTAAGAATGAATTATGTATGTGTGAAACTTGACCTGCTCCATAAGGGCTTCATATTTCTGTTGCCATGAATACTTCAAAGGAACTAGGGAAATGTTAAGATGTGTCATCACTGACCCATTTTAATTTTTTTTTTTTAAAAAAATAAAGGCTGCTCCATTAACATAGTAGAAGTATCTTCTGGCTGACTAGCATGAAAGTGGATTTAATTCAGGGTAGCAGCAGCAACGGCTTTGCTTGCCATTTATTGCCACAGCTGCAGTATGAACAGTGGCATCCAGGGCCCCACAGATACCCAGAGAAGTTCAAAAGAAACTAGCCAAGCAGATAAGCATTATGTCAAATTGGCCTCAGCTGCTGGTCCCTTTCTACATATCTTCCCAGAGCAGAATATGCCATCACAGCCAAAACTCTTGCCATCATTTGTCATGTAAATGCTACATCTCTGCTTGCCAAAGACTGAAAAGACAATGACACCTGGAACCACAGTGCACTTACCTAAGTACTCATTATGCAATGAGATCATGTTCAAAATGCGCAGGTGTTCAACTCCAACAGCTTTATTCAAGGAAATAAAATGTCTAGGCAAAGTGCCTCCATGCTGGTTTAGGCTTTCTCTTTTTCTTTTTTTAAACTACCTCTTGGTGGAAGATTAGGCTTAGATGGGATATATTTTTCATGATTTTATTGCCTTATAAATCCCTCTTC